TATTTCTGGATGTGATGCAACATCTGACATGAAAACCAGACGGCAGCAGATCAGGTGAAATTATAATATTTGTGTGATTCTCAGTACTTTTGTCCATGACTGTAGACATTGTGGACATAATAGGAATGTCCAATATATATCGCTCTCTATCGGCCATTACTAATCGATTTTTATATATATGGAATGTTTTCATGAATGTTGCTGATGATTTAGAGCATTAAAGGTCCATCTCTAATTATAAACAGTTTATTTTATAAGTTGTTCGTATTGTTGGACAGCATTAAATAACTGTAAGCCATCAGGAACTACAGGTGCATCAGTCCCCCACCTGTTCTACAGAAGCATCATCAACACCTTTAAACCTTCACATTTCTACCAGGAACATGTTTGTTTTATTTCTATTCTAGAAACTAGCATCCTGTTCAGGAGCAGCATCTGATCCAGTTACCATAACAACTGTATCCTAGGAATGAGGTGCAGCTCGCTGTCAGTGTTCCTGCAGGTTAACCCCCAGCAGCAGCTTCTGGATCATATCAGGGTCTACCTGCTTTAACAGCCGGGGTATTGCTCTGTGGTCAGCGGGCAGAGGAACCAGGACTTCAGCCACTGTCGCAACAAGTCTGGGCCTTCTGCCGCTCAGTGACAGCCGGAGCGAAGCTAACAGCAGCAGCCCGCTAACGGCGGCGGGAAAACCTCCTTACTTGATCCTGGAGCTCATCTTTAGCGGCGGCCGGAGGATCCCGTCGGTCGGAGATGGTTTCAGAGCCCAGCTGCCCGTCAAACACTGCTAAACAACACTGCCATAGTGGACTTCCATGCGCACGTCACGCTCCTTCGCGCAGTGCTCACTGGGATATGTAGTTCTCCACTGGCGACGGCAGGAACGTTTACAGGCTCAGTGAACTCCAGGTTCCAGGATGCACCGCGGCCGGTTGGCTTCATTCAGCCTCCGTTAGTTCAACGCTGGGACAGATTAACTACATGTTCTGTATGTTTACTCAACTTTCTGAAGTGACAGATTTATAATTATTTTAATGTTTTATGCTATAACATTACACCGCTTTCTACTGCTTATAACTGTGCTTTTCCTTTACATGTTTTAATGATAATAGAACTAAAGAAGAAATGTTTTATTTCAGTTAATCAGATGGTGTGATGACCTGTGGTATCAGTTTTTTCTAATGAGTTTAGATCATCTGCTGTTTTTCTCCTGCTGCTTCCACAGATCTTTTTTTTTTAATAAAAACTATTGAATCTAATAAAAGTAGCATTTTTGTTGGACTTATTCAGTCAGGTTTTGGTCCTCATCTGTTTGATGGATTTTTTTTAAGGAACCTTTTCTTCTATAGCAACTGTTTTCCTGCAAACCCCTCCCTCCTTAAACTATATGCTTTAGATCAATGTGTTAAAAGTGGCCCAGCAGGTCCTGCTGATGATCTTTAGCCAGGTGTGAAAATGTTGATGACTTTAGTAAACCCGGCTGACCTAGAGCTATTTCCAAAACCGTCTAAAAAAATGGTTTAGACAAAGTTTGATCATCAAACCTGTCTGAACTAAATTTAATTCAATTCTATTCAGTTTATTTCTATAGCTCCAATTCACATCATGTCATCTCAACTTTCCAGTTCACCAGATCATCCAGTCAGATTGATTCAAAGTTTTCTATCTAAGGAAAACCAGCTGATTGCATCGACTCATTGACTCTTC